AAGTCACATTTATGCAATTTGCTACTAGTCCGGCCAGTCTACCATTCCCACTTTAATGAGAGAACTTGCATATTTTGCTATTAGTCTGCCACTTTTTCATAAAACATAATGTTTACACTAGAGTTAGGCGAAAACAGAGTTGATTTAATATTTTAATCTATAATCACCTGTGAATGTGTACTTCAATTTGAATTCTACAGGGTGCGGCAAAAGTCTGGGAGCCTAACTTTGCAGTACTGCAATTACAAAGATACTGATTGTTTTGATTTCAATTTTGTGCCACATGATGCTGCGGTCATCCTTTACAGAATACACTTTATTTGGCTGGAAATGGCTGCCATATGTTTTTCTAAGAATGGAAGTTACCAAACTAGTACTTTTGCAAACGAAAAAACCAGAATTTTTGGTATTTACAATTCTTGCTGAAACTAGAGATGCTGTTAATATTGTACAAAACTTCGATGCACACAACATAGAAGAGGATTTGCGCTATTGTATCCTAGTTTTGCTTTTGCCAGGAGCTGTTCTTGCATGAACGGAAAATAAAAGTTTGCGAATGTTATTCACATGCCAGTGGAAATCCGTCTTTAGAACAAATTTAAAAGCTATAAAATGCCCAACAGGCACTGGGACCAAGGCAGTATTTTTTGCATACGTCTTGTAAATTAGAATCCGTTGAAGTTCGGTTGTGGGAACACTCTTTATATATTTTAAACGATATTTTTAAGTTTTTATTAGCGCATTTTTAGCCAAAATTCCGGTATGCGACGTACACATGCTTCTAGTTGAAAATCCAATACTTTTATTCCTGAGCAATGCAAAAAATTCTTTTGGAAGCATGCTGTAAATAAAAGCTTGCTCTATCGTGCTACACATTTGCCAAGGTAAAAGAAGCAGTTATTGTGAAGGCGTGGGTGAATTCCATTACGACTACCTGCGTGCCATGACAGGTGGACCTGCCAAGATTTTGTAGGGCTGCGTGAAAGCCAAAAGAGGAAGATTTGCAATTCAAGGACTGGGCTGTATCTGCAATGGTTCAAATTATGTGTGCGCCAAATTTTGCGTTTCTAGGTACTCACCTTCTCGTTTCGTACGAAAAAGTACTAGGCTCCCAGAATTTGCCGCACCCTGTATTATTGTTTATTGTGTTTTTGATTTTATTGTTGCATCATTCTCGTGTCCTTCTTCAGGGCCTTATCTCATGTGATATAATACTAGCGACCCTACGGGTCGCTAGTAAGTGGGCTGGGGCAGATACATTGATAACTATCTGCGTTCAAGTAAGAATAGCAAGAGAATGAATTCCCATCTTTTCAAGTTCTTTTTCGAAATGCAAGTATAATAGTAGAAGAAGCAAGATCAGGTTCTCAAGGAAACTTTTTACAGCGATTAACTACCAAATCATATATGCTGTTCTTCTCGCAAATACCTCCAGCTTCTAATTATGGAAATCGCCTAAGCACTCATCTATGTAGAACAGCTGATTCAACCCGAAACTCAGGCTGACTTTCAGGAATGTGCGACGGCCTCAAACACATCGAGCTTCGCGATCATGCACAGTTCCTATTCTCCTTATTATGTCTCGCCAAGAAACGGTCATTTTTTGAAGCGAGACCAAGTTTCGCTCAAAGCTTTCTCCTGTACAATCTTAGCAAACATGTCCTGCCGCATGAAGCCCCCTGGGTTTTGCTTTCCCTAAGATCAAGCTTCCCTTGCTTTTTCTGCTTTAGGCGCAGAAGTACGATTTTCTCGAAGTAGAAGCGGTCAAAAGTGGATATCAATCGAGCTTTTGTATAATTCTACTTTAAACCTAAGAAATTCTTAGCAGAAAAGTTTGCCGGCACTTAGAACTTTCTTTCCTTCGAGACCAAGCGCCTTTTCCTTTCTTGCTAAAGGGCAAAAGTATAATTTCTGCGAAGTAAAAGCGGCCAAAGTGGGTTTCAAGCAATACGATAATTCAGCATTGATCTTGCCGCATAAGCCCTCGGGACCTTTCTCCCCTCAAGACAAGTTTGCTTTGCTTCTTTTTTATAGAAGGTAGAGGTATGATTTCTGCGAAGTAAAAGCGGCCAAAAGTGGACAAGCAAGTTTTTATATAGTTAGCACTGAAACTGAGAAAATCTTAGCACAAATGCAAGCCCTTAGGCCTTCCTCCACTCGAGACCAAGCTCTCGCTTTGCTTCTTTGTTATAGGAGGCAGAGGTTTAATTTCTGCGAACTATTGGGTTGTGAAGAAAGAGTCTGGGCACTTTTGAATATTTTGTTTTCTGATGCATTTTTTTGCCGCTCCGTCGGAACACCAAGTTTTTTTGTACTGTTCGGTAAAAGGAAGCCTAATCTTGAAGCCGCTTCTAATTTTCATCAATGCCAACATGTACGATCTACACGTCAAAAATAGAAATCTTTCTAACCATGACAATTTCACATTTTTTCCTCCTTCGGCTATTTTTTGTGTTCTTAGGTTTTCATTGTGTATGATCAAATCGCGGAGACTATTAGCTTCTGATCCGCAGCTGCACTCGAGTTTTGCGATCTGCGCTCAGAAATTACAAGCTGTCAAACTTGCCTCTGACTGCAACATTCTCGCAACTGACATCGCTTCTGCGAGGATCGCCATTGGGTCCAAAGTATGTATAAGGATTAGCCCAACAATCTTCGCAATAATCAAAGATTTGGTTCCTTCTGTGCAGAACGAAAAGACTTCAAAGTCACTTACTCGAAAAATGGTGCATTTACTCAGACAACTGCATCGGAAAGTTCGCGGCCTTAAAGCGTATTATATGGAGCGCCGCGGCCCCTGAAGTTTGAGCACCGCACGCCGTGGCCCATGTACATTTTGCCGGGAACGCCGCGGCCAAAGTTGAAACTGGGAAATAATTATCGGGAGGGTCGCGGCCCAATCACCTCACTCGGCGGGCCGCGGGCCTTATCAAAGGCCGCACTTCTTACACACTGTAGGATAAGGCGCAACCCGCGTGAGGTGCGCCGCAGCGATGGGGCTACCCTAAGTGTTCATGAGCTTGGATATCACTGCTCTGATTTGGTCCTGTCTGATAGAATCGAGTTCTCATGATCATGAAATAAACTCTAGCAGTCGGTTGAGTGTTATCGACGACACTAGGGCCGGTAGTAATCCACCCCAGAACGCCACAACATAAACGAGTCAAGCTCACGACACTCATTTCAAATTACAAACTTAGCGCGAACTTAGCGCGAGCCTCGCGATGGTCTCCGCAAAACTTGCACGCCCATGGGCATCGTACCTTTGACTTGATGATTGCGAACAGCGAGCACAGCCACTACGCTGCATCAACCAACTTGCTGGCAAGCCTTTGCAATGCATGAATGCAAATGCAATCTTGTGATAACATGTAGCTCAAAATCACGCAATAACCTGCATGTGGATCTGAGATCAGCAGGTGGATTTTCGTGTTTAACGCGGCTCATTCTTGTGATTTCATTCAAGATTGCTCTGCCCTTATCCCTGTCACTTATCTAAAAACGTTGGGTGGGGACGCGTGAATTCCTAAGCTTGGTAACTGACCTGTGACCAAATGTTCCGTGAAGCGTTTTCAACGTTGTGACACTAATTTCGGTCAAAAATTTCGGAGTGCGAGCACAGCACTCATTCTTGTAAAGACGCAGTAACGTAAAGCAAGTGTCGAAAACACGAAATGGAGGAAAGAGGCACGATAGTCGCAGCGAATGCTGGAAAACTTCGTGATGCACGAGCAAGTGGCCAAATGATTATACAAATCAAGACCTTATTCTTGTCGCTGCAGGTAAAATCTGCTCCAATCGTAGTCAGCCCGAACTGTCTGCTAAAGTGGCATGCGTAGCGCCATTACTTTGCGCTGCATGTGCGCGTTGTGGGAAAGAGAGAACGACGAGATTGAAGAGGGAGCAGGCACGCAGGCCATACACGTGCCCGCAAAACCCTAGCGACGCGAACTCCCGCCATGCCAATTTTGGCCTGATTAGGTTAGGATTAGGGCAGACTGTATTACCAATCTATCACTACAGCTTACTTTCACGACTTCAAATAGGCTGCATGCTTTATCAAGCGAGCATTTTGTACTGTTGCAGTTCAAATGCTGATGGGGCTCTGCGTGATGGTGAGGCTCGATGAGTTTGCGGTCATTGCATGCGCATTGATATTCTCACTTATCTTTCTCCTGCAAACGTTGCTATCAGAGATGTCAGCTTCCACTTATCTAGAACGATTTTGAAAAGTACGAGATCGTTCAAAGGCACCGTCCATTAAGATTCTCGACTTCCCGGTTTTTGTCGTTTCAGGGCCTTATTGTTTTTGTTTCCAAATATGAAGTCTAGAATCTGCGAATCCCGAAGATTCCCATTCCGGAGAACCCACAGGCCGGCTTCCCAGAACGGTGATTAGATGAGTTCGCACAAATGGGTGGGCAGGGATGAGGAGGGGTGGATATGGATGGGGTCCTCGTGCATCTTCGCTTTTCCGAAGCGATTTTCTCGCTTCCGAAGCGGTATTTTGCGCCGCGACTTGGGTATTGGCTTGATAGGAGGCCCTACTGTTACATCTTGTCAAAAGCTCAACACCCTCAACTTAGGGACGGTGCCTTTAACTGGTTTGAGGCCTTATGACATCCTGCGTGTGCAATGGCGGCAAACTCACCGACTGTTGCGATCAGACAGAGCTCAATACTCTATCCAAAGGTGGAGTAAAGATTTGCAGCGTCACATGCTAGGTCAAGTCACGCAAAATATATACTGATGGATACTACAATGCAAAACGGTCATTCTCGTTTAGAAATGTGAAGATGTAAAGTGCTGGAAAGTATTAATTTTGTGGCTAATTCTACTGAGGTTTTAATCATGCACTACAGATATTACGCACAATCATTATGTTTATTAAACTTGGAAATTCAGCAATAAGAAAATGCGATGTTAAGAAGTAAGATGCATAAGAGTCTGTTTTCTGCAATGTCTGGTCATGAGTCTATATTATACCAACGACCGCCAATTCATTCGTTTTGGGTTGAAATCAGGACCATTCTATGCGAAGATCTACCAACTGTATTTGGCTTGAATGACCTCTTCTCAAGCGTAATGTCAAATCGATGTTTATGCCATCCATGTTCTCCATCTATGTGACGCGAACCTAAAAGTTTTCATTTTTTTCTGTCAGTTCACTTTATTTTGCTTACAAATCCTACACCATATCGAAGAAGCCATAAAAACTTTTTTGGGTATCAAGGAAGCACTCCAAAAAAGACCACCTGTTCAACTTCGTTTTTAAGGTGGTGCACTTTTTTGGAACTTCCATGGTTTTGGATTTGAAAAAAAAATTTGTTCACCTACAAAGCCTCGTGGATAGTTCACGCGATTTCGTCGCCTTGCAATTCTCCCATTGCATGTCGATCACCTTGCATTACAGTTGTGATGGAGTAACAACTAGCATGTTGGAAAACTATCACAACTAAAATGCACAAGTATCGGCATGCAGTAGACTCGTAACAGTTGTCTTGTTAGAATCGCGAAACGATGAAGTCGCGTGATGTATGCCCGGCCTTTTAGGGAGAAATAAATTTAATGAGAACCCCAACCGAGTTTGAGTGATGATCAGACTGAGATGAAGAGGACAATCATAAACGTAGTAATTCCTCTCACGCAAAGGTGGTGATCAAAGAACTCTGTGGCCGTAATCGAACCCAGTGGATTGGCTTAACCCAGACTGGCACGAACATGGGGGTAACAGAGCGGATCATCTAAAAATATCGATTCCACCCCTTAAGTTCGATCAACGGAATCCACTGGGATGCAGAATCTCATTCGTTGATGAATATGGCCATTAGATACTACAAAAATCGCAGAACCAGCTTGCGAAAAAGCTACCACAAAACGCATGATAATGTAACGAAGCAACAGTATGTAAAGAACATGAAACTAGATCAAAAATAACGCAGAAAGAAGTACCTGCAAAAGCTCCCAAGGTGCTCAAAAGTGAGAAGTCGCATCTCAGAAAGAGCCACGAAATGTTTGGAGGCAGCCCATAAGGAATGGTAACCTCTTTCTCATCTAAAAACAACAATTGATAAGCAAGGGCAAATTTAGTATAAGAAAAGTGGATCATAAGCTCGAATATAAGATTGGTTCTTGGACAGAATAAGAAGCTCAGCCATATTTTATGGAAACTCATTAACAGCACTCGCTCAAAGGCGTCGACCAGGCGAATCTGGACATATATCTTACGTGAAGAAACTTCAAACCCCCTGACTAGGAGGTACCCCATGTCGAAATCGACTTCTCACATGAAACATACACCAATCTAAAGAGCATCAAACGCTAATCTGGCGTTCTGGCTAGTCTGGCGCCTACCAATGCAACCCGCTCTTTGACGGAGAGTGTATGACCTTAGCGCATAGTGAGCCCACTACCATGCTAAATTGCGTAATCTACTCCTTTCTGTAGAAGATTACCAAATTGCTTTTGGAAAAGGTGCCGAACTCGACCTACACTTAAAAAGATTAAGATGAGGTGTGTATGCGTATGCATGAGTAGATTTCCTGCTTAATATAGTGCTCCCGCAGACGCGACAGCGCCAGCGCGTCAACATCTGCCATTGGGAATTTCCGAGCAATATCTTCTACTATTTTCTTTGCTTTGTAGGTAACACGTTGCTGATAAAAGAGAAAAAGGTAAGTTAGAGAGCATTTTCTGTTTTCTGAGTAATTATATGGTCGCTAATTTTGAGTCATCTACGTGGAAGCCACGTCGCATCAGTTTCAAGTATATGGCCCTGGCCAGACTTCGCTCAAAAGCGCCCAAATTTCTCTGATGTCTCTTCACTTTCTCGTATGAGGAGAGATGAGAGAGAGTGAGGAGAGGTTAGAGAAGTTTGGGCCTTTTGAGCGCTTTTGGGCGCTTTTGAGCGTAGTCTGGCCAGGGCTTATTTCTGTCACATGTTGCTTTTTTCTTTTGAAGCATATCGAGAACCCTAGTGGGCTTTGCAGCATTCGGCTTTTTTTTGAAAGGGGCAATTAATCAAGTAGTTCGAAACAAAGACAATAAGTCAAGAAGCCTATCACCGTTCAAGAAATGCTTCAAAAGAAAAGAGGCATTATGTGGCAAAAAGTACACACGAAAATGACGCGAAAAGGCATGAAATGACAAAAAATACTTATGAAACTGACGCAGCTTTCACATAAATCAGAATAAGCGATGATTTACCTACTCAAAAAACGAAAACTTTTTTCTAACTTACTTTTTTCCACTTTGTCAGCAAGGACTCACCCAATAAGCAAAGAATAATAAAAGAAGACACTGTAAAACCTTGCTGAAACTCGCAGGCAATTGTTGACGCACAAGAGTTGCATCAACAATTTCATCGTAGTAAAAGATTACTATAGGCCGTCCGCGCTGCGCACGGAGAGCAACGCTCTTGCGTACATTGAAGCCAGCTCACGACTGGAAGAAGCGCAGAGAAAACAGGCGGCGAGGTGTACGAGGAAAGAGGAGTGACACGCTCTCCGCGCCCTGCGCGGACGGCCTATGCCCGTCTGTATGAGGAGATAAAAAACAAAATATAAAAGGGATATAAAAACGAAAAATGCAAAGTAACAATTCGTACTCACCAAAAAATATTCGCTCTTCTTCAAGAGGATCATTGCTAAACTAGACTTGTAGCGCATTCACCTAGGAGATAATGATTCCAGCGACCGGATGAGATACAAAAGCCTGTGGGAGCCTCTGAAGAAAAATGAGCCTTTCGAATCTCCAGATCTCTTCAAACTTGATAATCTCACCGCTTTATTGGGTATCGTGCCTGGCATACATTTTCCAGCGATTTTGACCATTTCACTGCGCAAATTTGTCGTCACGGTTGTAGGGGACTTAAATGTGGCTACTGTCTCTTTGCAGACAAAATAGAAAACCTGAAACGAACCATATCATATTATTCAACCTGTGTACTGTTTGAAACTACCCCTTATTTTCATTAGTACAAAAAGGTGTAGAGTAAGGGCCCCATCTTCTCCAAAACTAACATGTTTGGCCTGCATCAATCTACATCAGCCAAATTGTCGGTAGCAACCCAACTGATTATCGATGTTGTTTCCCTCAAAGTCATAACTCTTCGATTCTCTTCTGCATAGCTAATGCTGCAAAAACAAGGGTCCTTCAAGCAAGAGGAGCAGACGCATGTTTAGAAGTGCATAGGCTTTGGTCGCAAGCAACAGACTGAACGCTGTTGCTTGCGACCAAATGCGACCGAAAGTTGTTACGTCTCCCGAGATAATTTGTGCTTGAGAGACAGTAGACGGCAAGAGGGGTTTAAAGAGGGCTCGAACAGCGAGACGACGACAGTCGCTACGAGTCACTCAGTCTCAGTCTCAAAATCGAAATGTCAAAATCTCCGCGAAGTCACGTACAGCGTGCATTGATGTTTCGGCGAAATGAGTCGAGACAGAGAATTTCAAGACGAATTTCATGAACGTAGCTCGTAAAATTTTTGCTAAACTACAGAAATATCTCTAATCCAACTTGAAAACCGTTAAACTATAAGGAAGGAAGAGTAAACGCTTTGAAGATGCCATAAAGCAGAAACGCGATTAGCGTCTTGCATTAACCGAGTGCTGGAGTACTGTAGGCGGGTCCCAGCACGATTATCAGGTCGTGAACTTGGCGTACTCGAGCTCTAGTCTCGTGCCATTTTTCTGCGTCTCTCACCATTGCCCACTATCTGAGGAGGAAAGTCGAGCTCGTGTACGAGCTCGTGAGATATGTCGTGTCTAAGGTCACGAGCTTTAGCTCGAGCTTAGTTCACGAGCTGTTCTCGACGTGATTCGACGAGTGTGTTGAAGGATAGCCGGCAAGTCGATCAATGCAGTGAGGAATGAAACTAAGCTCGAGCTTATCTCGCGACCTCGTACGTTACGACGTATGGGGGATTACTACAGGCCTAGATGATGTCGACAAATGAGCTAAAAAGTTGCTCAGTTGGGACTCAAGTCCGTCATTGTGAAGGACAGACTAAATAGTTCTTCACTCTTCCTAGGTCTTACAAGCATGCTAATCGGGTCAACTATAGGCGCCTAACGGGCTCTTACAGGATGCGCCGCGGTCACTTATCGGGTCTAATATATGGATTTACCGTGCAGCTCACGGCATGGATGATTGGTGATCGAACAAGCGCCCGCGAACTTCCCGATACAATTGTCTGAGTATGGGGCAAAAAATGGTCGATTTATTTCGATCAAAGACTTAAAGATCTCTTAGGCTATGTGGAAAAACTTATTTTGCAGATAGTCGCTCAAAGGCGTGAATAGTCTCCAAGATGGCCCCAGCAAACCTACATAAGTACAGCATATGAGCTGTCCAGCTCTCATCATGCCTGAGGTATTCTGCGCAAATAGGCCACTTTTCGCGTCGATCTTTTTCCCTTCTGCGCATGCTGGTGGACCGCAGTGAGACGCTGAAAAGCCAGCAAGGTAAATATATGTTGTAGACAAAATTGTCTTTGCAACGAATTTTGTAGCTTTGAAGAAGAATTAATCTGCTTGAAGTTACAGCGATTGGAAATTTTTGCAAGTGCCCGGGAACTTCCTTTAAGACCTAATAAAAGCGGTCAAAAGTGGAATTCAAACGAGATTTGTATAACATTGAAACTGGAAATTTCTTAGGAGAAATGTTTGCCGCTTGAAGCTCTTGGAACCTTTTATTCTTCGAGACCAAGGTCCCTTTGCTTCTTTGTTATAAGAGGCAGAGGTGTTCTGCGAAGTAAAAGCGGATAAAAGTGGACTTCAAGCGAGCTTTTGTATAATTTAGCATCAAAAACTGAGAAATTTGCGACAGAAATGCACTGCCGCATGAAGCTTCTGCAGCTTTCCTCCCTTTGAGACCAATCTGTCTATACTTTTTTTGATTTTTAAGGCAGAAATACGATTTTCGCAAAGTAGAAGCGGCCAAAATGGATTCCGAGCATGTCTTTGTGAGGAGCCTGAAACCTGAAAAATTATACCAAAAATGACTGCGGCATGAACTCATTACGTCTTTTATTTCCTTAAGAAGGGCTCCCTCCGCTGTTTTGTTTTTACTGGCAAAAGTATGGTTCATTTTTAACACGTTTCGGGCCGCGAACGCGCGCGGCGAAGAAGAGTGCACTTTCGGCCGTTAACCAGCAAAGGCCCCGGTCAGACTTCACGCGACTTAATCGTCGCGATCTAATCGCCAAGATTTCCATTCATTTTCATTTCACATTCAAAAATTTCGGGCTGGAAAAGTATCACAACCGAAATGCAAGTTGATCGGCATGGAATGATGTTGTAACAGTTGTCTTGTCGCGATTCAGTCGCGACGATCAAATCGCGTGAAGTCTGCCGGGGCCAAAAGAACCTTATTTAGACTGTGGATTACATCTGTAATCAGCATGCCAAATAGGCTCCATACCCAAAGATCTGAGTGAATTCGAAGCATTTGAATTTTGTCGCTTGAGAGGAACTTTCGTGTTTTCTTGAAAGATAGGAGCAAGAACTCAGTTTCAAATAGTATCTAAAAGTATTTATGTTGTGCACTGTATACTCGTTACTATTGAAACTACGGTTGATCTCTTTGAAATCGGAGCAAAGAAAAGTTGCGACGTCGCACGCGTCGTTGCGTTGCCGCACTTCGTTGCAAATGTTGTTCGATTTGTCCTCATATCGTGTAAACAAATATCGGCGGCACAGCTCTACAGAGTCATTTAAGAAGTAAGAGCTTGAACCTTTGACTCAATAACTTCGGATTGAAGAAAACCTCCTGCAAACGTCAGAAAGAACCTTTAAAGGTGTGCACCATGTACAGCACCGGTCCGAAACGTGTTAAAATCGTAACGACGAGTTGACTGCGGTCTTTCCGCACATAGAAGGATAAAACACCCATACAAACAGGCAACACCTCAACGCTAAGCTTAGTCACTTCCAGTACCTGAATACTATCATATGTAAGCGGAAAAACTATTTGAGTAGAGGTAGAAATGAAGAATTGGGAGTGCGTGCGTGTTGCGCGCGGTCGCGCCATCGTCACGATTCTTCAAACGCCCCATACAATTTCCACGAAGTAAAAGCAGCCAAAACAGATGTTCAGCAGTTTCCATAAATTTTACATTGAAATCTGATACAAACTGAAATTCAGGCTGATTTTTAGGAACTGTGTCATGTTTCAAAAATCTTCCAGTAACAAAAAACCCAGTCATGAAAATTTTTCAAAGCGACTTCAACCAAATTTCGTGAGGTATCTCCGAACGAAAACGGAGCTTTGCATGATAGCAAAGATTAATAAGTTCACCATTGCTTATGAATGGAGCTCTCTCAATTCTCTTCCTTCTTTTGAACGCTTTTCAACATACTTTAACTTTTGGTTACCTGTAGCGATTCTGAAAAATATGGAGTTGTTCACTGGATAATGGAACCTTACGGAATTCTTCTCAGGCAATGGCCGCACACGCCGACCATCGCAATAATTTCATTCATTTCATTTATTACATAGGGTTGCCCCTATGGCAAATGATAATAAAAGAAACAACACAACAACAAATTAGTATGTCAACACAACCTTAAAATTGAGGTAGTAGTAGTACTCAAACCCGTGTTAGTACCAATATCATCGTGTGACCGTAGATAATTCCTCATGCGCAACTCCACGCTTTGATAATGTCTCCCAATATGAGATCATTTCTTAGGGTGCCTTCATACCGTGCCGGCAGCCGCCGCTAGCAGCCCGTAGCCGCCGCTGACTGCTTTTGTCATAGAAGCGCAAAATCATCAAATTCCTGCTATTTTAAGCGCAAAGGCCCACGCTTTCCATCTTCCACGCGTTTTCCTCCCTGTTGCGGCTAATCTGCAGTTCCATTTTCATACATTACAGAGTTATTCAAGATAAGCACCGGCCAAGGATATAATTGAAGCAGAACCATGCATAAAAATTAAACACTGCAGAAAATGGACGCATCCAAAGTCAGACGATCACACCGCAAAGATACTTTGGCGAAATATGGTTCAATTGCGAAAGGGGAATTGAACCAACAGGATAACTCAATCTACAGCAACAAGATTTTAACAGCAACGGCCAAGTATGATATATGAGATCGAATTGCGACATCAGGGAGGAAAAAGCGTGGAAGATGGAAAGCGTGGGCGTTTGCGCTCAAAATAGCAAGAATTTGATGATTTTGCGCTTCTATGACAAAAGCGGCCAGTTGATCTACGGGCTGTTAGCGGCTGCTACGGGCTGCCAGCGGCGACTGCCGGCGCGGTATGCAGGCACCCTTATAGCGATACTAAAGCTTGCTGAAGCTTTCTACTGGATAATTTAGCAAAAAGGTCTTGCTGTGAAGCCCATGGCTCTTCCTTCTTTTGAGACCAGCCTCCTTTACTTTTCTGCTTTTGGATGCACAAGCATAATTTTCGCGAAGTGGGAAAATGGATTTAAAGGATTTTTTGTGACAGCCTTGAAAACAAGGGATTGTTCGGAAAAATGTCCTGCGGCAGTAACGACCTTAGGGGTTGCTAGTAAGTGGGTGGGGGCAGATACATTGATAACTATCTGCGTGGCTTGAAGTGGATTTCAAGGAGGTTTTTTATAACATAGCCTTGAAAACAAGGAATTCTTAACAAAAATGTCCCGCGGCAGTAGCGACCCTAGGGGTCGCTAGCAAGTGGGTTGGGGCAGATACATTGATAACGGTCTGTATGCAACTAAAAATAGCAAGAGAATGAATTCCCATTTTTTTCAACAATCTTTTTCGCAATGCAAGTAGTAATAGAAGCAAGATCAGGCTCATTTCAAGGTTTCATTTCAAGATCATTTCCATTTCCTCAAC